GTCTGACTGGACATCTCTTCTCCTGCAAACTGGTTGCCTCTGCTCTGGAGGAAGAGACGCACACAGTCTATGTTGACCATTGTGTATCCCCCTGGGGATCTGCCACACTGAGGCGGGTTGGGTCCCATCGAAACAATACCACACAAATATTTATCACCTACAAAAAACATGTGCAACTTGTGGCAAAAAACATAACTCGTTGTGCATCACCACGTTTTGCTGAGAAAATTTCAACAAAAATTAAATAATGAAAAATTGTGTATAACTCTTCGTTAAAATTTGAGGTGTTTTCTTGAAAACTTGAAATTGCCGGTTTTTTAAAAGTACATGGAGTAAAATTCAGAAAACCAAATAAAATCATCAAATCATAATCAGCCTTGAAATTACATAAAATTGTGATTTGAAAAAAAACCGTTGAAGTTAAATAAGAAAAGAACGACTCTTTGAGCTAAAATTTAAACAGAAGCAAAAACGTTTTTTTTTATCACACTGGGTTTTATTTTTTAATTATCTTAACATAACCCTAATCACGGATGCATTTTTTTTTAAAAAAGACATCATGGTCAATCTCATGCAACTTTTTTTGTCTCAGTACTTGAAATTGTGTTGAGAAAAGTCCAGCCATAATCTCTTTCCTCTCAGAAGTTATGGAACAACAACTTGAAACGGTACGTGACCGTTGGATCTGTTTTTTAAGAAACGATTTTGTCTAAAGAGATCAACCAAAGTTTACCATCATTACGACGCCAAACTGTGCTTTGGATAGGCCAACAACTTAGTTCGTGTAGGTCTCCAGAGACAAGTCTTTAACCATAGTAAAATTTTGTCGGCACAATCAAATAAAATGAAACATTTTGGCCTCGTAATGATATTGCTGCCAAAAAGTATTGTCCTCTCACGAGTTATCAAACAACTCAAGGAGGTACATGCATGAAATGGATGTTCTGATCAGTAGTTTATGCTTGACAAAAGATCACTTTTTTAAAGCCCACATGTTTCAAGAAATGAGAACGTACTTTTTAGTTTCCAGAAATTAATTTCCAGAAATAAGAACGTACTTTTTGCTTATGTCTCGAAAAACTTCTGAGTGAACAAAAAATGTGAAAACGAAAAAAAATGCTCAATTTTGGTACTTAAAGAAAACTTTTTTATTAGCTTGTTCAACCAGGCAAATTATGTTGAGTTTCACTTCAACTCGGGTTCACTCCTTCTAGGTGTTGAGAGCTCAATACAGATTTGCCTGGTAGTGCCATTATTAAATGGTAGTTTTCTTAAGTCCTTTCGTTTTGCAAAATAAGTATCAATAAACATAATTATTTTATCTCCAGAAACATGTTGAGACTACAATGGAGAATCATATTAAACAGACTAAGGGTGGACTGTAGAGTGGACATTAGTTCCGTTTTCTGTCCTCCCCGAGTCTCTTTTCATAAAGTAAGGTGCTAGTATATTCTTGCTCTAATTTTTGTTAAAACTTTTAACCTTGAAATGATTTGGAGAAATAAATTTCTTTGTTCTCAGTTCACTCTTTTGTCTCACAAAATACTTCCTTTGGACTCATCAACATCCATATATAATGAACCCGCATTTATCCTTATTTACATATATCGCACTGTTTGTACAACCTGAGGCGTCTGTGCACTCGAGGGGTCCCCCTGAGTCGCCTGCACAGGAGTCTTGGGGGAAAGTGCCGTGCATTTGGGGTCCGGAGGCACAGAGGAGAGTGTCCACCTGGTTGGGTCCGAACAGCAGAGTGTCCCACAGGTAGAAACACACTGGCTTCACCACCAATATCTCCACTTGCTCAACACATAACAAGTCTAATTTTTTTGTTTTATTTTGTTTAATTGTCGTTTTTTACAACTAATTGGACAGAATTCAGTATTGCGGGGCCAATTATCTTATTTTTCAGACCAAAAAAATTTGGACTGTTTGACTGGCCCAGTCTAGCGCTTTTTTCTTTAACCGTCAATTTAAATTACACGTCGAAAACGTCGCGCTTAAAAATTAATTAAAGAACTGATAAGCAAAGCAATTGCGTTAGGTTTTTTGAAAATCTACCTGAAGAGTTGTTGGCAATAGGTCTTGGTCATCGCAGTTCTTGTCTCCCCCACAACTGAACCCCCACCCAGCCACCACCACTTTGTCCCCCTCGACCGGCTGCTCAGACACCCCTCTTGGCAACTTGATTGGCTGGGGACCCGACTGCCCCTTCCCAACCAGCTTAATCAATGCAATACAAGTGAGTAAATACATGGGCCCATGAAGGGAAAACAACTAGAAATGACCAAAATGAACAGTCGTTCTCTGTGCGGAAACTTCTGACAAAATTGTTTCTTTTTTAGCTTTAGAGGAAAGTCTCTTAACTTCATAGGTTAAGACGGGAGGTAAATAAACATGTTTCAAAATAATGTCGTAAACTAATAAGTTTATTGTCAATTTGAAAAAAGATCGACAAAACACGTTGACAGATAAAAACCATTAAATCATAAACAATAAACAATAGATTGGACTTGTTGGCAATGTTTTTTGATCAGCAAACTACTTTTATTTTAACAAAGCTCATGCTTGGGGGTCCATTCCGCTCGCTTTTTACTTCATTTACTTCGGTTTTTGACGGTAAATTGGGTGCAATTTTGCACCAGTCCCATCATTGTTTTAATGAACGAATTCTAGAAGGAACCAATCATTGATTAATACTTTCATAGCTTCTCTGGTCCGGATCAGCACGACATCCACATATCCGAACTGGTTGAAAATGACGTCATCGATTGTGAAGTTGACCATGTTGTCGGTTTTAGTGTTGTCGTTTGTCCCGTAGATTATGCTACCCCTGGCACCAGTCTCAGTTATGCAGTGCTTTGCAGTTGCAACTGAAGAAAATATCACTGGTATCAAGACTAAACTTAATGTGAATCAGAATCAAAATGGTTAGTCCATTTTTCCTGAAAAAAAAATCAATATTCGCTAGTCTCTCTGTTTGGAGTTCCATTTTCCGAATCTTTGCTAAACGTCAAAAGCTATTTTTGAAAAACAAATACATCATTTTTTGCGTTACTTTGTAAAATTTAGGAAAACATCAACTTTACTATAATGTGGGGTTGATAAAAAATTAAAGATTTAAGAGTGTCTTTGTTGGTAGTGAAGGGTCATGCCCGTTAACTGAAGGTTCCTTCAAGAAGGTTGAAAATTGTATGTACTAACTATAATTTTGATCCAATATGGATCCACCACAACGCGTTGCACCTTCAATTCTGAAACATAACACGTTTTCTCATCGAGGTGTTTTTTCCACTTTTGTCTTCCAGAATCGACTACCCTCCCTACCCATTTATATCTGTCAGACTGATGTAGACTATCCACGGGTGTTCGGCCAAAGTGGCAGGCTCCCCGTTCACGATTCGATCACCGGCGCTGATCTTTGGTTGATATTTTGTAATAAGATATGATGGATAGTTTATCTCGTTTTGTGAATGGCGTGCGCGAATCTTGGATTTAAGCTGAAAACAGAAGAATAATGACCAACATGTAAGGCTTTGAATGCTCCATTGATGACCAATGGCCCAAACAATTAACAGAAAAAACTTTTGCTTTTTTTTAGTGAGAGGCTGTTTGAGAGAAAACACTGCTGCATTTTGCTTTTTATTCTACTATTGCTTTGATAACACTTTTTACCTCTTCGAATTTAGTTGAACTTCATGTAAACATTGAGTTTGATGCGACTTTCGAAGAAAGGATGGGACATATAGTTTTCGGTGTGGTTTTTTCTTCAGACAAATTTCGACTTTTGAATAGCCAGTTTTGAGCCAAGTTTTCTGAAAAAGTATTTACTTCTTGAGCTCGATTTTAGTAGATACATAACCTGTGATCAACCTCTGTTATGGGGTTTGAAAGTTGCCAATTTGTCTATGCTTTGTGCTATTAGCTCGTAAGGGGGGTTTAACTTGGCGCAGAAGTTGCACGTCATTGACTTTAAGCAAGCTATTCAGTTAGTTAATATATTACTAGACAGTAATAACATCGCTTCGTAGCAGAACATATTTAGGGAGGAGGCATATGACTCCGTCACTTCCCAAAGGGTCCTCCTTTGGTACTATTTTACGCCAACCCACCCTGAAAACTTTCTAAAGGGCGCCTTGAAAATGCATCCCCCTCCCCTTGAGAGCTCCTAGATCCACCCCTGCTTTGTAGAAAAAATTTCATAAATTTTATAAAAATTGATTTAAATTTTTTAAATTTATTTTGAAACTTTATCAATTCTTAATGAATTTTTGAGTAGATTCCATAGACATTAAAAATATTTGTTCTTTTTCGAATCACAAAATTGAAATAATGATTAAACTCTGAGTGCTCGTGCTGGCGGACATTCTAACCTGCAAACAGTCCTGATAGTTACAAGGAGGCCCTACCACTTTATTCGACTTCCGCAACAGTTTGCCCACATCTTTATTGGATGTTTGGCTGATATCTTCCTCTATATCATGTACCAAAACGCCATTAAGTAAAACAATTGTGGCAATATAACGATTAAAGCTGACTTTTTGGCAATTAAACATAAGGCCCAAAAAATTGGTTTCCTGCTAGAAGTTTCAGCATGTCAAGAGCACGTGACAAAAATTCGATTCAATTTTTTCTAAGACCTATGTTACCAGACAAATGTTCGTTCAATTCATGTTCCTTAAATAAGTGTCGAAACTATTTTTCTTTATTTTTTTTCTATAAAAAGGGGATAAATGAGCTAAAAAAAATAGTTCGATTGGTCTCCAACTTCTTTTTATGTGTTCAATTTTTCAGACCGGCATAATTTAAAAAAAATGCTAATCATACAATTTCCATATATGGAAATTGTATGATTAGCATTTTTTTCATATGATTTTTTTTCCTTTTTTTATGAAGAGATACCAATTTCGATACCAAAACAACTATAAAATTACTTTGAAATTCGATTAAACTCATTTTGCAAAAATATATGAAATTTGTATGACTAGCATTTTTCCATAGACTAAGTGTATGAAATTGTATGATTAGCATTTTCGGTCTATGGAGGTCAACCCGGGAAGTTAGAAGTAAGAAGTAATGTAACTGCAAATTGATATTGAAAACTTTTAGAAAATCCGGTTCTCTAGAAACAAGCAGCAATGATAAAAAGCCGGATTTTTTTTTGTCCCAGTCTATTAGAAAAACACATCCGTATCAAAGGTCTCGTACCCTCTATCAACATAAGAGCCATGTAAAATCACCAGAGTAATACAAGAACAGATTCGTAATCAGTTGACAACCAGGGCACATTGGCGCTTGCGGTGCTCTACTGATTAAAAAGGTTTAATAGAGATTCCTTAAAAATCCTTTGAAATCGGTCCTATTTTATTTCAATATGACATTAATTTTTTTCTAAATGCAATTTTTTCTTATAAAAAGGTTGAAAAAGACCAATTTTGAGCTGAAAGAGAACTCTAGCAAATTGATTCTTCCTGTTATGGGTCATCATTTCCCCACAAGTTCGTCGCCACATTCTGTCTCTGTTTTCTTTTACAACCAACGATTAATTCCAGTTTTTAGAAAATGGGGTCTGCAAACTGAAAACATTATAGCAAAGGGGGAGCGAAGGTGGTTATGTCTTCGTGAAGTGATTATGTATTCGTATCTCATTCGAACGGTCGAACGTTTGAACTCCAGCCCAGCTGATCAGCGCGAGTTGCTTGAGGGCAAAACAACAGTACCCAGCACATGAAAATAGCAAAAATAGCAGATGTAATTCTTAACCAAGGGCGCTTCCAAGGTTGTGCGTGAAATGCTGAACAGTTCTTATGTTCGTCCTTTCGAAGATATAGTCCCCAGTAATAAGGCAGAATCTTTTTTAGCATAATTTTGTCCTCAACGAGCCAATTTTATTGCTATGAGAAAAGAATTTAAAGATTTAATCTGATCTAATAAGGGACCAAGTGTCCAGATCCACGACTTAAGATAAAACCGGTGCGATTTAAATTTAGCCATTCCAGACCGGTGCGACTTTATATTGGCAATTCCAGGCTGGCGCGACAACAAAACTTGAATTGAAGACCAGCGCAGCTGAAAATGAAACTACCACAACCGGCGTGTTTCAAAAAACCGCAACATTCGCGCAACATAAGGAAATGGCGCGACCGGCGCGACTGGAAATTTTCTATACTGGACCGGCGCGACTGAGAATAAACCGCCGCGACATGCGTGACTGAGCAAAATACAAAAAGTCTTTTCTTAAGTCGCGCCGTCAGCATTTTCTTAAACTGCGCTTGTAAAATCTCTTCTTATGTCGCGCCACTAAAGTCTGTTCTTGAGTCGCGCCGTCAGTCTTTTCTCAAGTCGCGCTTCAGTCTTTTAAAGTCGCACCGCTGAAATCTGAAAGACCGGCGGCGCGACTTACGAAAAGACTGACGCAGCGAATTAACAACAAACCGACGGCTTGACTTAAGAAATGACTGACGGAGCGAATTAGGAAAAAACTTTACGGGCGTAACTTACGAAATGACTTGAGAAAAGTCTGACGGTGCAACTTACGAAATTTTTAAGCCATGATTTATGTATGCGCATGATTTATGTATGCGCTAGTTGCGAGACCAGCATTCTTCGGTAGATACTATATACAAAAAGTAAGTAACTTAACTCTTTAACTAAAAATTTCAATTTGAGACGAAAGTTTCCAACATATATGCAAAAGTTTGACAAAGTGCTGTATTTGAAAAACCAATTTGCGCTGACTTTTTTGTGGCTTTGCTGAACAAGAGATTAGTTTGAACAGGAACATGTTCGTCCTTTCGAAGATATAGTCGCCAGTAATAAGGCAGAATCTTTTTCAGCATAATGTTGTCCTCAACGAGCCAATTTTATTGCTATGAGAAAAGAGTTTAAATATTCAATCTGATCTAATGAGGGACCAAACGTCCATATCCGAGACTTGAGATAAAACCGGTGCGATTTAAATTTAACCATTCCAGACCGGCGCGACACCAAAACTTGAATTGAAGACCAGCGCAGCTGAAAATAAAACTACCACAACCGGCGTGACTCAAAAAACCGAATTATTCGCGCAACATAAGGAAATCGCGCGACTGAAAATTTTCAATACTGGACCGGCGCTACTGAGAATAAACCGCCGCGACATGCGTAACTGAGCAAAATACAAAAAGTCTTTTCTTAAGTCGCGCTGTCAGCATTTTCTTAAATTGCACCTGTAAAGTCTTTTCTTAAGTCGCTCCGCTAAAGTCTTTTTTTAAGTCGCGCCGTCAGTCTTTTCTTAAGTCGCGCTTTCAGTCTTTTAAAGTTGTACTGCTGAAATTTGAAAGACCGGCGGCGCGACTTACGAAAAGACTGACGCATCGAATTAACAGCAAATCGACGGCTTGACTTAAGAAAAGACTGACGGAGCGAATTAAGAAAAAACTTAAGCGGCGTAACTTATAAAATGACTTGAGAAAAGTCTGACGGCGCAACTTACGACAACCCGACGGCGCGACTTACGAAATTTTTAAACCATGATTTATGTATGCGCATGATTTATGTATGCGCTAGTTGCGAGATCAGCATTGTTCGGTAGATACTATATACAGGAAGTATTTAACTTAACTCTTTAACTAAAAACTTCAATTTGAGACAAAGGTTTCCAACATATATGCAAAAGTTTGACAAAACGCTGTATTTGAAAAACCAATCTGCGCTGGCTTTTTTCTTGCTGAACAAGTGATTAGTTTGAACAAGAACATACGTGGTAAGTGTATCATTTTCAGCTCGCTATTTAAATTTGCATTGAGCTATTTGTGTTCAGTTTGGAGCATATGATCCAAGCAACACATGCAAAAGAAACACTGCTTGGTAACTAAGACGAGAAGACATTACCACATTGAGGCATTCAAACGACAAATGTATTAGCATCCAAACTTTTTTAACATCAGCACTTTAAGAGGCCAATGTATTTTGTGAATTTTAAGCAAATTCCGCAAAAAAGATTTGATCTTTTCTGCTCTTCCCGTACTTTTCTGCTCTTCCCGTAATCAATTATATTAGTTTTTTGTTGTCAGTCTCAAAAAATCTGGAATATCATTGATAAAAAGTTGGTTTTTAATCTCAATATTTTTTATATCAGTATGATCCGTTATAATCAGTTATAATGGATGTTTTTTCAGAGATTTAAGATGCAATGGGGAGCGGTGGTGAAGTGGTTACGTCTCCGCCTCTCAATCGAAAGGTCGGTTGTTCGAGGCCCACCATGATCCGTGCTTGTTGTTTGAGGGTGAATAAACATTACCCAGCCCAGAAAAATAACCAAAAAAAATTGCATATAGTTCTTAAACAGGGGCACAACAGCGGTTCGCCGTAATCAGCTGCACAGCTCTTGTGTTGGTCCTTTCCCCCGTGGATAAATGGTCTTAATCAAGAAATGCATTTTTTAAGTTACCTCATTTCCTGTTTAGTGCAGCTACTATGTTATACGTTCAACAAACTTTCACTTTTCACATAAAAATTGTATTTTTTAAAATGTTCTCTATTTTTCAATTTGGCTGTTGTTTGTTCAGCATGTTGCTTTTTTCTTCAAAACTATAATGAATCAAAGATAAATTTTGAACTAAATATTTTTTAAAATGAAATAAAATAAAAACGAAATCAATTCACAAAATCATGTTTGTTTTTTCTTTTTACCCCTCACTGCTCCCCTGAATTTTTTTCTAACCATTGAACAGGGGGACTTCTCAAGGTAAACTGCACTTCTCTACTCCCCGCCCATTTTAATCTCCCCCTTATATTTTTAACTCTCCCCACCACCCACGTTCACTAAACTGGGTAGGAGGAACTGGGAAGGGCAAATTGGGGAGGGGACGGTGGAACTGGGGGTGGGGTAAACTGGAGAGGGGGAATAGAAGAAGTGATGGAGTTTACGATGTGTCAACCTCCCATCCTTTATTGATTCAACCATTCCCCAATTTCCTCTTCAAC